AGACTTACTTTTAAATTTTTTTTAAAAAACAATTACTAATTTAAAGTAAAACTTTAAAAAAAGTAATATTATCAGTATTTTTTTCACAACAATTAGGATGTGTTTGACATTAGAAAACAAGGTCAATGACCCAACTGTACACTGCATTATATTTTTCTTTATTTAAATACCTTAAATATATTTTGATATTTAAGTTAACTATTTATTTAAGCACCAAAATATATTTCTGAACCTCCCCTACAGGTAAGAGAGGATGTAATAAAGACTGATATGAGGTGTCAGACTAATTATCTTCACTTACTGCCAGAACTACACATTTTTGAATATGAAACTAGTTTTTCATGCTCTTTACAGTGATATTCTTCTTTCAAACCACTAATCTATTTTTCTGCTCCAATTAACATATAATCAATCCAACATATCTAACAAGCAATGCCATATGTGCAGTCAGGTCAGGAATGAGTTACCATATTTTTTCATCAGATGTAACCACTTGCTCAGGTTCTAAAATGTGTGGTTGGCTGTATATTTAAAAGGAGCAAGGTTTCTCCCAAATTATATTGCATACTTTATTTTTTACATGCACTGTAATAATGTATAATAAGGACATTTCCTATAATACTAACTGATAAATTGGATAAAGAAACTATTTTTCTTGAAATCAAAACATTAGTCAATTAAAAAAAGCAAAGTGCTTAACTGTTTATGAAGCACTCATGAAATTGGAATATATAACCCTCTTTTAATAGACAACATACAAAATAAGTATAAAAATGGTATATGTTACGTAGTCACAACTTTTATTGTTGTTGGTTTTAGTAAAAAGAAAATCTTTGATTCAAGTTGTTAGTAAAATGCTATCTTACCAGGAATTTTTCTCTTTAGAACTTCTGCATTACAGTTTGAAGTGGCACCTGCTCAGAGAGTTAAAAAAAAATCACCCATTCCTTTTCATTACATCAGAATATTTCCACTTGACACATTAACAGCTAAATTATACAAAAGTTCATAACTGCTTGTACTAACAACTATAAAATTTGGTGTCTGAAGTCAAATCAATCATACCACAAGGGTCTATAACCAGAGATCATGATGTTATATTCATGTAAATGCTAATATTTCTCATGTACAAACAAAAGATGGAGATTTTTCAACTTATTTCTGAGGTAAATTATTCCTAAAACAAACTTGCACATAAATTTGTGATTTAAATAATTATGTCACATTATGTGTCTAGGTCATTATCTTTTGTTTCATCAACAGGTTACAGTTTAATCCAGCAGCCACGTGGGTATTTTTTGCTTAACCTTGCAAAAATATCTCCAGACCAGGCCATTATTGATTTTGGTAGGGAAAGTTGTTACAATCATAATCTGAATAGTGCCCAGCTGGCATCCTTGAGCACTTCATGATATTCAAGATGGCTGCCATAGACAAGAAACCTCATATATGCATGAGTTTTAGCTCAATTTTTTATGTATTATCTCTTTTCCAATGTTTTTATGGTCATAAAATCTACCTGGAGGGTTTATAAAGCACTTTGAGTGAATTTATGTGCCTCAAATGATATATATATATATATTATAATAATTATAATAATGTATACTGTAGATGCCCATTAGTCATAGCTGTACTTACAGCATCTTTTTCTCATTTTTAGATGCGATTCTATACCAAGTAACCTAATAAGTTGAAGCATTACGCAATGAATGGCTGTTATTTCAAGTTTTCTAAAAAGTGCACCAAGATAGTTGATGATGAATTGTCATTGGCTGGTGTTGATAAAGTAACAGCAGCGAAGACACTTCTGAAAGATGTTGTGCCACCACTAATAGGAAATTACCAGATAAATATGGAGACTGTGATAAGAGGGGCTACTGAGTTCATCACAGCCTGCTATGGAAGTAAATGTGGTGAAACCATGTCTGATGCAAGATTCAATATCTGGCAGTATAACACAGGATGCAGCCAATCAAAGTCCTTCAAACTACCATCGCTTCCACCTACATCAGAAGCCTTTGAGCTGCATGTTAGATGAGCACATTACCAAGTACACTTATGGAGAGCAACATTAGTTTCAGAGCCACCTCCACTAAGTCCAAAAGAGTATGGGTGGAAAGCAGATAATTCTACCAAAACCTTTGTGCCTGCTGACATCCTGCCTGCTCTAGCTACAGTCTTGAGGCTATTGTGTTGCTCATGCAGCACTAATGAGACTTGTTCAAGCTGGAGGTGCTCATGTCATCGATCTGGCATGGAATGCAGCATATTTTACAAGTGTTGAATCACAGTTATAACACTGTAACAACCCAATTAATAAACATACCACAGAAGCTGCTACAGCAGACAGCAACAATAAGGAAAACAAAGACAGAGATGATAATGAATAGGAAATCAGACCAGTAATAGATAATGACAATAACAGATGTGGTCTTTTGAATTACGCTTGTCAGCATTCTAAACTTAAAAGACAAATTTTAACTAATTTAGACTAATGTGATATTATTTTATGATTAGACTGGTTAGTAAAATAAAACATGATACACAAAAAGAAAGAGTTTCTGTACAGTGTCACGTGTAATGTAATCACATTGTTATTTCGGTAATATCATGTTGGATGGCGTATCAGATTTGAGATGTAAAATTCAGCTGGATTGTAATATTATCCCTCTAAACAGATTTTATTACCATAAAAACATTGGAAAAAGAGGAATTTCAAAAGAAAATCAAGCTAAAACTTTCTTGTATATGATGGCCATCTTAAATATCTCAAAATGCTCAAAGATGCTAGCTGGGCACCTTTCAGATTCTGATTCTTCACAACTTCTCCTACCAAAATCAATAATAACCTGGTCTGGGGGATACTTTTGCAAGGTATACCTCCTGGCTGCTGGGCTAGTTGGAAACGTAAGTTAAAACTTACCGTTATAATTTTATCAATTTATTTATTCTATTCCTTAAAGACAAATCAAATATATATATATATATATTATTTTTTTCTGAAAAGATCATCCCAATAGCACTGGGATAAGGTTAATGAAATCCCATCATAAGCAGTAATTTAACATTTACTTTTCAGTAAATTGAAAACAACAAACACATTTGTAGACTTTAGAAGTTTTTTTGATGGGCCATCAACCAGACTATATGACTAACAGGTGCCACATGCTAAACAACAAAAAACAAGCTGAGTCATAACCAAGATATAAATATGTTAATGCTGACTGCAACTTGACTAAGTCTAGAAATTCTGATTATGCAGTTAATCACTGATAATGTATTCCACCTAATATCATTAAATTCAGAGGCCTACCCACTGCAATAATAACTTAAAACAGTATGTGCAGATTTAACCTTACCTCAATGTATAGAAAACAGCTTTGATTAATTTATGTACAATACAAATGTTACGTGGTATGACTTGTTTGGTGACTGCATTAAAAGCTATAATAGTCCATGTTAACTTTACATGTTAGATCAATCTGCATATTGAGTTTCTATCAAAAACCTGGATAATTTTCAAGAAACGTCCATTAGGAAAAAACAAAAACAGAGAGATATGGCAGTTTATTTACCTGATCTTGTTCCTCCACATAGGAACATGTTAGATGCTAACAGTCTCCTATAAAAAAACAAAACTTTAAAATGTAGCAAATTACATTAAATAATTAACTAATTCGTATACCCCTTTATTTAACATAGATACCAATAAAACTAAACACAAATAGCCCTCGGTTTATTACAATGAAGTGAAAGTATAATGTCAATAATTTTTTTTTGTAATTACAATCTAGTTGTTTTTTTAGTACGAAATATTTAAATTGCACAATTAAATGATACTTCCAGAAATAGTAGCAAAAGTTCCTTTCTAGACAAAATCTTACTAAAAATGTGCTCATGCCTCAAATGTGTTGGTTGAAAAGATAACCAAATCATTGAAAGAGTCCAAAACTCAGTACTGACTTCCAATACTTGAGTAGTTTTAACAATTTCTGTTATCACTTACAGAAAGCAATGTCTCAAGTAACAACTAAAAAAACCAAAGAATTTACATTGGTCATTCTCTAGAGAAAATCAATTCAAACTACTGATATTTAACTGTATGACACATATTAAAGCCAGACAGTATATAAACATATCTTAAGTGCACCGTTTCTTTTTATGCACTTGGAATACCAATCAAAGTGGTTGATACAGTATGGTACACACATACCCAGGTTGAAGCAAAATTAGACAAAAAAGTATTTATGTCTTGGTGTAAAATCAAGGAAAGGAGAAGTGTGCTGGCCTTCAACAAAAATTAAGAAGCACAGAACTATTTCAGACTTGGAATGGTATCAAGAAAAGTAGAGATACACTGGTATTGAATTGAAGTTGAGGATCCCATCAGTGTTTCTGCTTTGGAATTGATATTAAGAAGACACACACATATGTGATTCTGTCTTGGTCTGATGTCAATGAAGGTACAAATGTGCTGATCTTGGACTGAGATTAAGAAACACAGAAGTACATCTGCTTTGCTACGGTATCAAAGAGAATAGAAGTATGTTGGCCTGGGCATACATTATGGAGGACTTTGTATTTGTGCATTGGTCTCATGAAAAAAAAAATGTGCAGATCTCAAACTGACGTTACAAAGTATAGAAGTCATTCTGCCTTGGACTAAAATGGAAGAGCACACAAGTTCATTTGGTTTGATGTGATAAACTATAGAAAGTAGAATGGTGGTGGCCTCATACCAAAAGTAAGCAACATACGAGTATTTCTGCATTGATATGATATCATTGAAAGTTGGAATACACCAACCTTGGACCAAAATTAATGAGCACAAAAGTCTTTTTAACCTGGATGTGGTATCAAGGAAAGAAGTTGTGTGCTAACTTAAACCAAAGTTTAGGTGCATAGATGTATTTCTGCACTGGCCTGATATCAATAAAAGTAGAAGGATGTTAGCATGGACTGACACAGGAACACAAAATTCCAACTTGGTCTGATATCAAAGAAGTGTGCTGGTCTAGCGTTAAGAACAGAAATTTTTCTGCCTTAGTTTGATACCAATCAAAATAGAAGTGTGTTGTTCTTGGAATAAAATTAAATAGCTTAGAATTTTTTGCCTTGATGAGATAAAGTAAAAATATACTGACCTTGGACCAAAATTAAGAATCACAACAAAATTCTGTTTGCTTCAATATGGTATCAAAAGTAAAAAAGCATTTCTGTTTAGGTTTGAGATATATATGTAATTTTTTTTACAACTATGCTGGTCTTGGACTAAAATCAAACAGCATGATTTTTTTCCCTTGATAGTATCAAGGAAAGCAGGAGTACACTGGTCTTAAACCAAGATTTAGGAGCAAAGGAGTACTTTCATCTTGGTCTAATATCACAGACAGTAGAAGTACACAGGTGTTCAGTTGACAATAAGGAGCATAAGTATTCCTTTCTTGGTCTGATATCAAAGAAGGAGGAAGTGTGCTGGCCTTGGACTGACTTAAGGAGCACAGAACTTGGTTTTTGCCTTGGTCTGGTCTCAGTAAAATATGCTAGCTTTATAAAGTGTGAAAGTATGTTAATGTGACCTCCTGAAACTGAGTTCAGAAGAGCAGTTTTATATAACCATATTTTTTAGTGACAACTGCAGAAAAGATTTAAGGTGAAATGTTCATAATGAAGCATTTTATATAATACTTCTATATTTACTTTTTCTTCTGTGGTTCTTTGAACCAAAACTAGCATAGGACAAATTATTTTTTCAATAAATGTAAAAATAAATAGGCTAATCAACTTAGAATTTCAAAAACTAGTTCAACCTAATACAAGGATATTATTTTATGAAGGTTTCATTTTCTTGAACACTAAACTAAAAAGGTGAAAGACTTAAGATTTACACTGACCTGAATAACAGATCAAATAAATGATGATCATCGAATAATATTTATCCTTTTTTGGCCAATCAGATTAAAGTAGGACAGGACACATTTAGGAAATTTAGGAAAAGAGAAAAAAAAGAGACTAACTAGCTAAAAGCCAGATTTTAACAATGAGGCTTAACTGAAAAATACTACTTGCAGTCAGTATTGCACACTAATGACTTTTATAAGGCTTTTGAAGCTGGTTTAAATTATTAAGAAATCTTCCTGTAATGTTGATTCCAAGGAATATATAGGAATTTATAAAAAAAATTGTATATAAAAAAATAGGCTCAGCATAATGTTAATGAAAAAGAAGGCCAAGTTTGTAACTTTTAGGTTTAAGAACTTTAAACAAGAGGCAACCACATTTAACAAATTTGAAGGGATTACAAAGTCAAATAAAAATCAAAATGTTTTAGAATGTAGTAATAGAGAAAGTTTAGAATTTATATAATATTTCAGATATATTATTAAAATATTTTTGTTTTCCTATTATTATTATTATTCAAAGCTAATTAAAACCTTAGGTTCTTTGGTTGAGCCTTCTACAAATGAATTGTATTTAACAACAGTTCTTGTTGTAAAAGGCTTCAGCCAAAACTATAATTAAAAGAAGAGTAAAAAATAGGTTGCTAATATTTAGAAATTGCAAAAAAAATTCTAATTTTCAACCCACAGTATGAATTTAAGAGAATATTCATAGTGTCAGAAAAAACATGAAGTCTTAATATAAAATGATAAAAACCCTATTACCTGAGCACTTTTGAAAAGCAGACCATTCTTCTTCAGGGGCAAACTAGGAATGCCGAGCTTGCCTCCGAAGAAGAAATGTCCACCTTTCAAACCACTCATGTTATGAGGTTTTTATCTTTTAAGTTAAGAGAGTATGTACTGACATTTTTAGTTGAAACAATTTCAATATTTTGAAATTATAAAATTCTCATAAAACATGTTACTTTCACCAGCCTAATAAATCGGTCAAAATCTGGTATTCACTGACATCAGATAATTGATGTGAGAAATACATAGAAAATTAACCATCTTAGGACAGGGTCTGATTTGTAGGACCGGTTTGTTTTTGCAACACACTACTGAATCACACTACAAGAAAATTGAAACAAGAAATTTCTAAAAAATATGCAAATTATATATACAAAAATATAAGTTGTATTCATATAAATTTCTAGCGTATGAAACATCCTACAATTTTTAACACTAATTTTAAACAATAAAAAAGTACTCCCTTTTACATTAGACTACTGTTTTTCATTATTGTGTACCTAAAAGTAAATATATTTAATAAAGTTTTTTGTTTCAATAAAGCTTAATATTTCTGCCTGACTTTAATAAAACCACAATAAATTTATATACAATCACTAGTCAAAACAATCTAAAATATAATTAAAAAAACTGCAAAAATATGAGTTATTAAATAGAGCAAAAAATTTTGTTTATTATTGATCAATTAATAATCTAAATATCCAACAATTTGATCTTGTTTTATATTCATTCTATACAATCAATAATGACTAAAATAATATTTCTTGCAGTAGTAACAAATGCTAATTAGGTCAATAAAATGCATTATTATGATTTGAAAATTGTAAAAATGTGTTTCCAGACATTAAAAAACCCTTCCTTAAACATCCATCATGATTGTGGTATTTGAACACCTTTCCATCCTCAATTCCATACAGAATATGCCCCCCCCCCCCAAAAAAAAATTTTGGTAATCACTTGTCAGCCAAAATTTATGAGAATGGAATACCACAAGTAGCATTTTATTCTGAGCTACTTATATCTTTTTATTCCTATATATATTTCAGATTTAAAAAAAAATTGGAATCTAATTTGCAAAAAATATTATACATAATGGAAGTTATCAAAAAGATTCCAGCCAATGGCTCCAAGATTTTATACATTGTGTAAGCATGTGCCCAACTCTGCCTACTTTGGTAAAGGTACAGTATCTCTGTGACGAAATAACTTACATTGTTCTTAATCAAAATTGACAAAGGAAATAAAAATATTAAAGTTTAAAATAACAAGCACAAATAATTCAGTTAAGAGAAGCATACAATGTCGCACGTATCAGTTGAAAGTTGAATATCTTTTATCTATTTTCACTGCCATATGACAAATAATAAGCAAGATACAAGTAATTACATAACACCACATGTGTTTCTGTGTGTGTAGCTGAAAAGAAACATAACACTTGGAGAGTTGTTTATCTATAAACATGGCAGCAAAAAAATTAAATTCATGAGCATGACTAATCTGAGGTTGTTGTGGAAAGAAGCATGAAGTCACAATCACTTTCACTTTACCTCCAGAGAAACAATGATGTGCATGATGATTTCTGTGCATTCCTAGCACAGAGGCTGAGTGATGTAATATTTTAGCAGCTATAGCCTGTTTCTTAAATGTCTCTGTTAACAACACTTGCCTATTAATTCATCATGGGTTCTTAACATGAATAAACACATGTACCCATGGCTGATATATGACAAGAAATAGTCATCTTACATCACATCATTGATGGTGAAGTTCTTCACACCAAACACCCTCTCTAGTTCATCGTTTTCACAGTAAACCTGCCGTGGATCTCTAGGATCATAGAGTTTTTTCATCAACACGTACTCTTTCAAGTACGAAACTACCTGAAAACAAAAAAACATTTTGGTTACGTAAAGTCTCCACTTAAGGAACAACAAAAACAGTAGGTAAATTTTAAAGACACGCGTACCTGAATGTCTTCAGTGATATTCAAGTAACAAGTTCAAATTGGGTTTATGAAATACCTATGCCCCACCAATGTTATACAGCATATTTAAGACTCTCAATTTAACTCTTTCAACATGGGCTCAGTCGATTTGAACGACCACATGATCTCTTTGTACTCGTTTAAAGTCTTTATAATTTTGATACTACTAGCTTTTAAGACTCGTGGCCATGAAAAAGTAGGATATTTTACTAAAATTTGGTCGAAAAAAATTATGAGATATATAATTGAGTAATTGCATAAAGCACAATAGTAATTATTAGTAAAAACTTTAGCTACATCAGTTGAGATGATTTCAACCCAACTTTCAGATTTTCAATCAGATACCAGGAAGCATGGAAACAGTAGTAGCTGGCAAATTATGTGATAAACACAAAAAGGAAAGAAAGAAACATGCCATATTTGTCATGTTTGTCGTCTTTGTGATCCAATACCCTCGTGCACTGTACCCATGATGCATGTTAACTACAACAGTAAGCGTAAAAGTAGTCAGTTGACAAATCAGTAATAATAATAAAAAAGGTATGGCCATGTCAGGGCTGAGTTTTTCACGATGCCAAGTCTTAATACAGAATGTATATCTTTAAAACATGTGGCAGACTTTCAATGAACATTGCAAGTTTTTCACATATAAAAAATTATATTTTTAGTAACCTAAAAAAAGATGCAGTATTTTTTTTTACTAATCCATGTGCAAAGTGATTTTCATGTTAAGATTAAGAATACTTTTCTTTGCCTCAAAAATCTCAAATTTTATTTGCCCAATCTCAAGTACATTTCAAATGTTTCTTTTCAGTAAAACTTTATATTTTATCTGTTATTTTCTCTAACTCTATACAAGGTTGGTCAAAGCACTTGTATGTGAAGCTCACGTTAATTTTACCTATGCTAACCTCAACTAACCTACAGAAATCCATATTTTTACATATATTGTATATTTTACCTAAGCTAAACTCAACTATTCTACAGAAATCCATATTTTTAGATTTTAATTATTTATATAATAATAAATAAAGAAAACATTAAAAACAATAAATAAAGTACTTACCTGAGTCTTCTATTTTTTTGCTGTCAACTGTCAATGAAACTTAACCCTATTTTTCTTTTTTTTTTACATATTATTGTTAGTAATGCACTAAATACTTTTTTACTTAATTAAATAATGCATCAAAGAACATAACAATAATATCATTCAAAAAGCAGACAATTTCCCCTAACTATCACAATTTTTCTGGCTTTTTAACTGTGTGACAAGAGCTATTACTAATTCATCTAAGTGCCATTATCTTTACCATGAGAACAAAGCTTGTACTAACAGAGAAAATGGCAATTCTCTGTTCAGAAAACAATGCAATATAATACGTCATTTGATAGATGAAAACCTTGGCTTTCTATTGGTTATACACAATGTAGTATTAAGTGAAATGTGGGTGTGGCAAGAGGGGTCCAATTTTCTATTTGATGGCTCCGTAATCAAACAAGATTGAAGGCTATAAAAATTATGGTTTGTCTGAGCAATGATGATCAAGAGGGGGCCGATTTTCTATTTGATGGATCTGTAATCAAATAAGATTGAGAAGGCTATAAAAATTATGTTTTGTCTGAGCAATGATGATTTTATAGTGGGTAATTTATGTTAAATTTCAAACTTATTGGGGAGGTGGTGAATAAAATAAAAAATGGACGCCTAGAGAAAATGTGTCACATTTCTCACACTAGTGGAAATTCAGGATTTTTCAAAATATTGTCTTATAAAATTAAATTACTTAAAACTTGTATACTATTAAAATATGGATTATCAGCTATGATTTTATGCTATATTTATAGGTATAACATAAACAAAAAGTAGTTTAATAAAATTTTTAATGCAAGTTACTAAAACCTTGTGACATGCACATTAAAGGATGGCCTTGGTGATAGGGTTAATAACAGAGTCCTGTTAAATAACTTTGAACAAAATCTACCCATTCATTCTTCAGATATTATATCCACAAGATTGGGGCAGATTTTATTCTATGTACCAATGACCTTTTGACCTTCAAAAGTTAAACAGGTCTAAAACTTTGTATATAGTACCAATTGTTTGAGTTTGGCCCAAAATCCATTCATCCAACTTGAGATATCCAGTTCACAAGACTGGGATGGATGAATGAATGGACTGGGCAAACTAATACGCTTCACTCTGCTTCGCATAAAACCAACAACTTTGAATTTCCATAATGAATACTAATAACTTGTGTAACACACACACATAGAAATCAAGAATTTCATGATCCATGTATAAATATAAGGCTTGTTGCATGTGTAAGCCAAGAAATTTACTATATACATTTGTAATGACAAACAAAATGAATAACTTATCTTACCACTGTCACTATAGGTAGTTCAAAGTATGCATGTCATGATTTTTTAGGCAAGTTACATTCAAAATTTGATTAAACTGCTTTATTATCAATGCATAAGAATAAACTTGGCAATAAAATGTAGTTAATAAATTAAATTTTAACATAAGTTTTAAGTTCTTACTTTCATAAGGAAATATTTAACAAAATTCTCAACCTCCCCTACTATGAGAATTGTGACATTTATTATATGTATCATGTTACATTGTTTTCAGTAGAGTATGGTCTATTTGAAAGTTCTCTCACTTAAGAAAATATTTAAAGCCTCATATGCCATAGTCAGAAAGCCAGATAAATTATGATAGCTTAGTGTGTGTTGCTATTCTGTGATTAAGTCAGGTAAGGTAAGATAATGAAAAATAATAAAATTTCATGAGTTATGCTCACAAGCAGCTTGTCCATTACATCATTCAATATAGTAACATGAGCTATGCATTAACCAATTGTCTTACAATTTATATGGGAGGATTATTAGTCACACAAGGTTCAAAGGGCAATACAACAATAAAGTTAAGTATAAACAATTGTAGCTTCCTGTTACAAGTTGCAGTCATTCTACAAAAAAAGGGATAATTAGATCTAATTCGTATTTTTTTTTTTATGGTGATTACAAGGTCGATCAAGTTCACTCTTTCAGTGCTTGTTATAGTTTTCATGCTATAACTTTTAAATTAGTA